GAGCTGGAGACGGCGATGGCTGCACGCCTGTGTGATGTGGACTGCATAGCCACAGTGGGCGACCTGTGGCACCACATTCGCGACCAGGTGACAGCTGCTGCCGAGGAGACCATCGGGCGCGCAAACTGTAAGCGGCTTGATTGGTTTGATGATAACAATGCGACGATCGGCGCATTGGTGTCGGAGAAGAATGCAGCATTTGCTGCACGTGTTGCAAATCCCAGTGACTTGGGGAAGAGTAGTCAGTTTCGCAAACTTCGACGGCGACTGACCCGAGAGCTCCGTCGCATTAAAAATGCATGGTGGACGGAGAAGGCGAAGCAGATGGAATGCTACGCCGAACGCCGCCAACACAAGGAATTCTTTGACTCCTTGAAGGCGGTGTATGGACCGAGATTGGAGCCTCTGAGGACACTGATCGATGGTAGTTCAGGCGCTACCTGCACACAGACTGCAGACATAATGCAGATCTGGCGGAAACACTTTGACTGTCTCTTGAACAACCGTTCAGAGATCGACTGGCCTACATTGAACGGCCTGAAGCAGCACGATGTGAAGGCGGATCTGGCGGAAACGCCGAGACTGGATGAGACGCAGAGAGCACTTGCTCAGCTGCGAAACGGCAAATGTGCCGGAGCCGACGGGATCCCGCCGGAAGTATTGAAACACGGCAGAACCGCGTTTTTGACTGCGCTGCACCACTTGGTGCAACGTGTATGGATTGAGGAGGAGGTGCCTCCTGAGCTGAAGGATGCCCTTGTGCTACCACTGTACAAGGGCAAAGGTAGTAAGCAATGTTGCACGAATTATCGTGGCATCAACTTGCTGAGTTGTGTGGGCAAGATGATTGCCCGAGTCCTGCTCAATCGCCTCGTGAGTCAGATTGTGGAACCTAACGTGGCGGAAGAGGAATGTGGATTCCGTTCGGGTCGCAGCACTATAGATATGGTGTTTGCGGCTCGGCAGTTGCAAGAGAAGTGCAGAGAACGACACCAGCCATTGTACTCGCTTTTTGTTGATTTCACCAAGGCATTTGATACGGTGAACCGCGAGGCATTGTGGCTGGTGTTGGGTTGCCCGCGTAAGTTGTAAGTTTAATTGAATTGAATGTCTGCACAGTGGTATGCGGGCGAGGGTGCAGCTGAGTGGAGAGACCTCGGATGACTTTGCAGTTGTCTCTGGTGTGAAGCAAGGCTGCGTCTTAGCTCCTGCGCTGTTTAATATATATCTTCATGCAATGTTATCTTGTGCTTTTGATGCCGCTTGTACTTACGGTGTTCGTGTGGAGCACCGTATTGATGATGGGTTGCTGAACATTTGTCGTTTCGGTGCGAGAACTCTAGTCTGTGAGACAACTATCCGTATGTTGCTGTTTGTTGACTACTGTGCGCTGTTTGCACACAGCGCGGATGAGTTGCAGCACACGAATAGTGCTCTGGCTTCGACTGCGGCCAAATTCGGGCTCACCATCAACACAAGCAAAACTGTCTGTCTCTCTCAGCCTTCACCGGAGGTGCAATCTTCAATATTGCCGCGAATCAGAATTGGTGATGAAGTATTGGAAACCACCAAACGCTTCAGCTACCTTGGGAGTGTGATGTCCACTGATCAGCAGCTACACGTTGAGTTGCGTATTAACGTGTCGAAGGCAGCAACGGCATTCGGGAAGCTTGAGTACCGAGTGTGGAACAACCATCGGCTTAGCATTGGCTCAAAGCTGATGGTGTACAAATCCATGGTACTGTCCGTTCTTCTATACGGCAGTGAAACGAGGACGATGTACCGTCGGGATGTGCGATATCTCGAGTGGTTCCATCAGCAGTGTCTGCGACGGATTTTGCGCATCGGCTGGGGCGCCAGAGTTGCAGACACGGAAGTGTTGCGCCGAAGTGGGATGTATGCAGTGGACTGCATACTTTTACTGAGACACCTGAGATGATTCGGTCATGTGTGGCGCATGGATTCGACGCGGATACCGAAACAACTCTTATACGGTCAGCTGAGTATTGGGAAGCGGCACGTGGGGAAACCAAAGTTACGTTACCAGGACATGATCAAAGTGAGCCTCACGCGTTCTAATCTTGATTGCAGGTCATGGGAATCGAAGGCGGTTGATCGGCGTGCATGGCGCGAGCTAATCACGAAGGCAGTTGCTGAAGTGCGGTAGAAAGACCTCACGCATGCAGAGAAGAAACGGCAAGTTCGCAAGCGGTAAGCACCGATGGATTGTAGTTCATCGCTATCAAGCTCATGGTGCTGTAGCACATGCGGTCGCGAGTGCCTGAGCCAGGCAGGCCTAGTAAACCATGAGCGATGCCACTCGGGACTACTACCGAAGCGCCGACGGGTTCTGCAGAGAACGTAAGCAGAACCGGCGCAGCGTTTGTAGGTACGCTGCATTCGATTTACTAACCGCGTGCTTGCATGCTAAGTCTATTTATTTCAGGTGGTGGGTTTTCAATTTTGACTTAATGCTTTTCTTTCCCATATAAATGCCTAGTTATACTCTCTTCTATACACTTGCACACGTCGCTTAAGCCACTTGTAGTTAGTTCGATAACATTTTCGTTTTTGTAGCATTTCCGTAAAATAAACAACCTCCTGACCTCGTGAACTTACCTCGTATTCTTTTGTAAACAACTTATTTCATATGCTCATTAAGTTAAGATTTATGTCACCGTTTGCTTGCGTGCTAAGTCTGTTTACTTCAGGTGGTGGGTTGTGAATTTTGTCCCAGTGCTTTGCTTTCTCATATAAATGTCTACCTGTACTCTCTTCTATAAACTTGCACATGTCACTTAAGCCAATTCTAGTCCTTTCTGAAAACATTTTTGTGTTCGTGGCATTTCCGTAAAGTTTGCCTTCTGACCTCGTGAACTTATCTCGCATTCTTCTGTAAACAACTTACTTCAGATGCTTATTACTTTAAGATATATGTCACCCTTTCCTAGTGATCCATAAGCGAGGCCACTCGGGACCACTACGGAAGCGACGACGGGTCCTGCAGAGAAGGTAGACAGCACCGGCGCAGCGTTTGTAGGCACCCTGCATTCGATTTACTAACCGCGTGCTTGCACGCTGTCTCTTTATTTCAGGTGCTGGGTTTTCAATGTTGCATAAATGCTTTTCTTTCTCATATAAATGTCTACCTGTACTCTATTCCACTAACTTGCACACTTCGCATAAGCCAATTGTAGTCGATTTCCATAGCATTTTGTGTTCGAGGTATTCCGTAAAGTATACTTTCTGACCTCGTGAACTTATCTCGGATTCGTTTGTAAACAACTTATTTCATATGTTCAATAACTTAAGGTTTATGTTACCGTTTCCTTATGCATTAATCGAGTTATTTTCTTTGTATCTCTCAAGCGATTGGCTGTTGTTTGATATCCCCGGTGTGGCTGCGCTTGATGTGCATGTTGACAAGGTGCCTACCTGTCTATTACTCACTACCTCGTCCATACTGGCTCCAGAAGACAGTTGGTCGTTGCTGGAGGGGACGGGGTGTACGGTCCTTGTGGCCGTGCTAGGCTCGAAGAGTGGTTCCATGCACTCAGTGTGGAGCGGACTACGGTCCAGCCACCGCCTTGTGTGCGCGTGATTTCCCAAATACAGCGTGCTTGTGTCTGCCTGTGAAGGAGTGTGGGCTGGCTCCGTTGATGAAACGTGCCTCCCATCCGCATGTCTCCCGGTCTTATTCCTTCGGGTTTACACTGGATATGGGGTGTATGGTTGGAGCTGTGGGTGGTGCAGCGCAAGCCACCCATGGTCCCTCTGTAGGCGCAGGCGTCCTGTGGCTGGCCACAGTGACAGGCAAATCCGAAAGCGGATGCCGCCAACCATGTATGTATGTGTGCCTAATGCTGAGGCTGATGTTGCACTCATGACGCTTCTTCACCGCAGTTGGGCTAAACCAACTTACACTTAAACTAGGTCTTTTTAAGCTGGTTAAATTTCATTCCACTTTATTTACTTTGTTCTGCCTACCTGAATACTCTTCTATTAACTGGCCACGCTGCTTACGCTACTTGTGCTTATCTTCGTTAACTTTATTGCTTTTGCAGCATTCTTGTGTAACTTCTGGGCAATTTGTACTTAACGCGGATTCGTTGCTAACCAACTTACATCATATAGTAATTTATGGAAGAGTTATGTCTGCATAGCCGTATCCTTTAACAGATATATTTTATGTGATATTGTTATTTCAAGTGATTGGCTGTTGCTTGACATCTCCGGTGTAAATGTGCTTGATGTACATGTTGACAAGGTGCCTACCTGTCTATTACCCACAACCTCGTCCATACTGGCCCTATGAGACAGTTGGTCGTTGCTGGAGGGGATGGGGTGTACGGTCCTTGTGGCCGTGCTAGGCTCGAAGAGTGGTACCATGCACTCGGTGTGGAGCGGACTACCGTCCAGCCACCGCCTTGTGTGCGCTTGTTTCCCAACTACAGAGTGCTTGTGTTTGCCTGTGAAGGAGTGTGGGCCGGCTCCGTTGATGAAATGTGCCTCCCATCCGCATGCCTCCCGGTCTTATGCCTTCGGGTTTACACTGGATATGGGGTGTGTTTGGAGCTGTGGGTGGTGCAGTGACAGTCACCCATGGTCCCTGGGTAGGCGCAGGCGTCCTGTGGCTGGCCACAGTGACAGGCAAATCCGAAACCGGATGTCGCCAGCCATATATATATATATATATATATATATATATATATATATATATATATATTACAAGGATATGCACATTGAAACAAAACCAGCAAGTAATGTGATATGAAGGATAGACTCAACATCGAACGGTCAAAAGAGTGGTGAGCAGTGAGGGGAGGCCTCAGCAGGAAAATTAGCAGCCCAAAAATGGTAAGTCGATGGTCATGCTTCAGAAAGCATGCAAAGCTGCGACATACGAAGAGAGTTCTCACGAAGTAGACAAATAGTTACGCATGGAGCACAAAGGTCATATCATGAGAGTAGGCTGGCGCACATGTGCTAAGTCAGCTTACCATGCTCAAAACCTGCATCGAGAAAAGAGCGACTGTTTTTGATCACATGTGGTAGGTTAAGTGGTCCAGGACAAATATTAGACGGCTCCCCTTCTTCCATGTCTGGACTTACATCGTTCCAACGAATAAGGAGACTGTAAAAGAAAACAGAAATGGGATGGAACATAAGCAGGAAGCGTCAAACTAAAAGGTGAGACTTGGTTCGGTGTTCGTGTGCGCACCGATGCAGGCTGCGCATCTGAATTGTCTTTCAGTAAAAATGCCTTTTAACACGCATAGTACTTGGTAAAAAATAAAGAATCCAACTTAGTATAAATGCGAAAATAACGGTGGCATTGATTGCAGGTTTCCAATGTGAACGCAAGTAAAATAGCAGCGCGCGTCCACGTAGCATGCTAGCAGTCGGGTGCCTGGGCGCATGAAACTGACCAAAATTCGGGCGCCCAGGAAATGTTCATTATTTCATCCGTAAAATAACGCACTTGTTCTTGAAATTGTCCGTGCATAGTAATGGCAGATTTTATCCATTGTAGACGTTAAACAGTGGCTCCGGAATTTGTTTTCTCCACTCACTATTTTTGTGACCCTTGTAACCCGTGACTCTCATTGGGGGAAATTATTTTCACCACGGCATCCGCCATGACTGATAATCGGTCGAAATCTCGAAATGGTTGCTCTAAGTCCACTGTACAACGCATGATACGCAGAGGTAATGAGGAGCTTACGAACTTGATACCTTCTTCGCGTGCTAATGAAGGTGAGTAGAAAGCCTACACTAAATTTCGTTAGCAACTTCATCATGCAGCAACAGCCTGCAGCGTGAGTTCAGTGTTGAAGAGCCTCCCTATCCCAGCACCAGTCAGTTTCCCAAGTTGCAACGTCCATTCCGACTGTAATCGTCACCTCAACCGTCATCAGTGAGATTATAAAAGGATATGAAAGAAGGAAGAAACACAGTCAGTTTCATGGTTATAGCTTCTCTAACAGCGGTTTCTGTAGAGGATGTTACCTTGGAAGAAGCTTTGGAGGCCAACCTAGCAGCGGTGCACATTAACATCTTACTGTGACATTACAAGCGCGTACATCTTGATTTTCGGCTTCCTCGCGCACACTTTTGCAAACCCTTCGTGACTGCCCTGAAGGTCTCATTCAGGGTGGACGTACATGCATCTTGGACTGCAAACAGCAATATGACACATTTTCTTACGCCTGCTGTGCATTCTCCATCGATACTGAAGCTGTAGTTGTAAGTCGATGAGATGTCACCGTACCGCAGTTCCCGAATGCAACTCTGGCCCGTACTTGGCAGACTGATGGAGCCGCATTCAGACATATTTGTCATTGGTATTTACAGCGGTTTAACCAAGCCGGCAGAGGTGCATGAGTTCCTTTAGCCCACTATTAAGAAAGTGCGGGAAGGCGTGCTGCTGCAAGCTTGTGGTGAACGCATCAAAGTGAACCTCAAGTGTGTCGTCGCTGATGCACCAGCAAGAGCCTACTTGAAGCAAGTGAAACATCACTGGGGATACTTTTCGTGCGAGAAATGTACCGCAGTCGGTAAGCTACACTTCTGTATCATTATATACCATTGCAAGTTTATATCGAGATCATCGAATGACCTGAGGACGAACGACGATTTTCGTAATCGGCAACAAAGTGAGCATCACGTCGGTGATTAGCTTTTTGAAGCACTGCGTAGATACACGACCTCCAGCTTCTCCATCGAGTACATGCACATGCTGTGTTTAGGTGTAATGAAGAGGCCGTTCACATTGTGGCGTTGTGGTCCGAGCGCCAATGGAATTCGTTTGTCGTTGAAACATACTGACTGGATCAATCAACACTTGCAGCTTTGCACTAGCTGTCTAACTGCGGGATTTCCACGCAAATGCCGCACCCTGAAATGGAAGGCCAAGGAATTTAGGCAGCTCTTACTGTACCTCGGACAGTTGCTCTGCACGGCATTGTGCCGGAGCACGTGTACGAAAATTTTCGCAACCTGTCAATCGCAGCTTACGTGATTTGCAGCAACAAGTGACGCTGCTACTACATGAAGCGTGTAGTGAAAACGATGCCAAAAATGAACGATAACTATGTGACAATGTACGAAGAAAGTGAATTGGTATTTAACGTGCATTGCCCTCAGCATATATGCGCGGCCGCGCGCAGGTTTGGACCGTTGGATACGTTTTTCGCATTTCCGTTTGAGTCACAGCTACAGCGTTTGCAGCGCATGGTGTGTGGCACGCGTATACCAACGTCGCAGATTTTCCCTCGCATTGCTGAGCGTTCTTCACCATCTCTCACGAATGCGTCGCTGTGTGTAGATGACACCGCTTCCGTGACGGTTAAGCGTGGTATAAACAATGCTGTCGGGTTTATGCTGCATAGGACGTTTGTTACGACTACGCGGCCCAAAAACGCCGTCATTGTACGCGATGCGCCATCCATCGTGCTTGACGTTAGGGATTCTGAGGTGTGCGTGCAGTCCTATGTGAAGCGCAAATCGCTTTTCAACAGATTTATTCGCTCCACAGATCTACGCATCTTCTAGTGCTCGGGTACGCTAACGCCACTGAAGTGGATTCTTGAGCTCCAGGTACGCTACAAGTGGCTTGCCCTTCCCCTTGATGGTGACATCGTTTTCTACCCAATTGTGCATACTTGGCGTTGAGGATGCATTTGCCAAAGCTTATTGAGGTAGTTATCAGCTTCGGTAAATTCATAACGTCTTTCATTGCAGGTGTCATCACGATGCTGCTCTTGCAACACAAGCACGTAGTCGTCGCACGCGATGCGCCATCCATCATGCTTGACGTTCGAAACTCCGAAGTGTGCGTTCAGTCCTATGTGAACCGCAAAGAGCTTTACCACCAATTAATCCCCCCTGCAGGTCTCTGCATCTTTAAGTGCGTGTTGTGCAACACATATATGTATGCATTCGCATCGACAGCGGCGTTATGGGCAGCAACTATACATAAGCAGGACCGGAAGTGATGGTCGACCTGTACCACGGATCAAAGCGACAACTGATAACGTTCTGCCGCTACAAACCGTTTGCTAAGTACGGCCTTGGCTTTTAAGGTAAATGAAAAACATGGCCGTGCATCATACGTCCATTTCAGCTCTTGTATTTGGTCCCCAGTTCTTGTCCTGCCCTGGTATAACCCCACACTGCCATGGTACAGTACTTCTTGCAGTGGGTGGTGATTGCGTGATGATGCAGTAATAAAAGGAATCTAATGATTTACAAATTCCATTCCTACTTTTGCAAGGTATATAAGGGGTTGTGGCTGAAAAACACAGAGTATTGGGAAGTAAATGCATTTTTAGAATTGTGCAATACAACATTACATCAACCTCGTCTCCCTTTCGGGTTTCTTTACCTAAATGAATGATTAATGAGAGTGCTCTTTCAGATGCACCACGTCATTGAATTTGAGAATGCCATCGTAGCTGTCGCTCATGTCAGTTGGATGGCTGGCACAGACCGAGTTCGGTAGCCGAAATTACCCTCAAGGCAAATGGAAGCAATGAAACTGAACAACAGTCCGCCACCATTGTCCGCGCCGCTGTACAAAGTTCAAGTTCACAGAGCTATCGGTAAATGTCGGAAATTTCATGCTTTAACCACTCCTCAGATGACTATGCAAAAGCAGAGGCTGAAAGCGGCAGTTGTTCTGGGATTATCCGACGTGCCGTCCAGCGACGCAACCTGCTCCATGGAGCGTGACGGAAAGCGCAAGATGTTTGTACCAATTATGCTCTACTTAGTTCCAGCAATCCCGTGTATTTCCCGTAGTGTGAGACTTCGGTTAAGAAGTCACGTCCATCCACATCCTACAGTGTTCATCTGGAGTACTCACCGCCACTGAGGTCGGATGAAGATTCACATGCAAGTGATGCGAAAAACATGGATCCCAATATGAACACGTTACTTACGACCAGGTAAACAGCATTCACGGCCATATTGTTGTAGTCCAATCGCTCCATTGCAGACATCAAGCAAAGTGATCCAGGAGGACTACACCGATTACAGCATTAAAGGTGCGTGTATTAAGTATTCATAACAAACTTCCATTATGCCGCCGCAGTTGAAGTAGGTTACCTAAGGCGCGAGTATGTTCGCATGCGCGAACATATGCATTCGATGGACCGGAATCTGGATTCCATCCTTCGTCAGATGGCTAGTGAAAGGGCTGGAGCCGTATGCCCTGTTCCATTGCCGATGACATCCGTTGCAGAGATCATAACTCACAACCCTCGGCTGGAAAGCTATGATGGAATGCACAAGATGGTATAACGCGATTTCATTTGTAAGTTGCCTTACATGGCGTATTTGGGCGGCTCGGTAGCAAGTCCCTCTCCGACTGCGTGCGCAGCATGTAGCTGTCCTTAATCACAAATTCGCTAGTAAGCCAGGTGAACTGGCGTGGATTCAATTCGAAGTTCCGCATTTGCGAAACTCCGTTGGCCCGTGCCATGATCGGTACGCCGCGTAAATGCAATACACAACTTTCATTACAGATGCACTAATGCGAAAAGGTTTCACGGGAACATCGAAATCATTGATTGCGGAAAAAATTCGCCGATGGTTCCAGCGCATAAACGAACGCGGTCAATTTGGGCCGCAGTCCAAAGTCGCCGCAGGGACAAGTGACTTCCCACAGTGATTGTTCAGTTTTATCGTCATAATACATGTTCTTCTGAAGTTGTGGATTTCCTGGTGCAAGGTGAAAGAAGCGCATGTGCCACCCTATATGTTGGCGGCATCCGGTTTCAGATTTGCCTGTCACTGTGGCCAGCCACAGGACGCCTGCGCCTACACAGGAACAATGGGTGACTGGCACTGCACCACTCACAGCTCCAAACACACCCCGTATCCAGTGTAAACCCGAAATGAATAAGTCCGGGAGGCATGTGGATGGGAGGCACATTTCATCAACGGAGCCGGCCCACACTCCTTCACAGGCAAACACAAGCACGCTGGATTTGGGAATCAAGTACATACAAGGTGGTAGCTGGACCGTAGTCCGCTCCACACTGAGTGCATGGAACCACTCTTCGAGCCTAGCACGGCCACAAGGACCGTACACCCCATCCCCTCCAGCAACGACCAACTGTCTCATAGGGCC